CAGGGAAATATTGCCCCAATGATATTCAAACCAAAGACTCCTCGATTACCGTCGGTTGCCCCACCAATCAACCTATTAGGAGTGGAAGTCAAACTTAACTAAATAATCAGAACAGGGCTATGGATACGCGCTTGTTTCAAAGACATACGCGTTGTCCCACAAACTAAAGTTCGGTTTCCATGCTTACCCTATCGGCGACAGGTCACAATTCCGTAGCCAAGATTTTCAAACAGTGAGGGACAATATCAGGGTGGACCCACTTTACGCGTAAATTCAAATAATGTGGAGCCATTTTCTTAAAAGTTGACCCATTTTACTCAAAACTATGAAAAATCTGGACCCACTTTCTTAAAATGTTACCCATTTTAGGCTAAATATGAGAAATCTGGACTCATTTTTAAAAAGTGCACCTATTTTGTATTTATGAAGTTGCATAATTTGGACCCATTTTTACGTTGCGATTCTATGGAAACCGAGCTTAACACAAGTGTGCCAAGTACTTTTACGCTGTTGTTTTGTCGGGCCTTACCACCGATATTTAAGAGGTGGGGCTTAGAAAACGATCTAGTTAGCTATGAGTCCAAGCTAGGGAATTTATGTATTTATTTGCTTGTATCTACTTTTCATTTATGACACGTTCTTTCACATAATCAGATAATGGTATTACATGATACGCAGTAAATAAACAGTTCAATATATTATAGTATTAATATTATACCCCTTTTTCAAGGAGCTCAACACAAGCCCCGCCCCTAGGATATTGTTCCTACGGTAAAAAATAAAACGTGTAAAGCCAGTCGAAAACACGTGCGTTACTTGGCACTACCGTTTTATTCGATAAAAATAAAATAAAAAATTCTAAAAACTTAAGAAAAAAAGTCACAAAATTGAATTAAGTTGAGAACAATTTAGAATAAATGTAAATTGAATAAAAGTGTAAAAACATCGTAATAAAATGTGCAAAAATTATCTGAAAAGGTTTGAAAGGGTTTGAAAATTAAAAGAACTTTGGAGTAAAACACTAACTAAAAAGAAAATAAATATAAAGCCATGTTGTTAAAACTGGGAAGAGGTAAAAAGGTTTATTTTGACCGGGATAGCCAAAGAAAACCAAGCCAGGTCCAACTCAAACAGCGTCGTACGACGCAGCCCGACGCGATTTGTTGTCGCCTCGGGGTCTGTGTGAGTTAACGCAGACGCGATGGTGTGCGTCGGGAGCAGTCGCGTTAAACATGTTTAATATTTCTCATGACGGCTTAAGACTGTCCCCGACGATAAATCGGGTACTCGGGCTGCGTCGGCCGACGCTGTCTGAGTTGGCCTTTAGGGTCATGAAAGCAAAGACGAGAACAAAAATTAATTCTCATATTAAAACAAAACTACTAGGGTTAAAACGACGAAAAGGGAAGGATTAAGCGAATGGGGCGCCAGTGATTAATCGCAATTATATACATTTCTCCTCTATTGGCATCTTATTGCTTACAGTCGTAAATTCGGAAATCTTTGGCATACTCAAATCTATTCATAAACTGCATCATTGTCTTATGATACTGACTCTAGTGAGGTCATATGTTGATGTTGGATAGAAGTTACAGGATTTGTTCCAGGGAGTGGCTACGCAGTGTTTAAGTGGGTTTATAAGTATAAGTAGGCAGATGTAAGTATACATTACTTCAAATTTACTTTCTTAGTGCAAATTCTACAATACCCGAGGTCCAAGTAGACATTATAGTTACCGGGGTTAGGCCAAATCCTTAGTCCTATTTCTAATTTCAAAACCACTTCCGATGACTTCTGACTTCGCCTTCAACAACTGGCTTACATTGTTGACCTACCATCACACTTATATTCTGCGAAATATATATTTTAGCTCGTTAAGTTTAGTTCGTTAAGTGTAGACCTACCGTACATGATAGGACTGAATGCTCACTGGTCAACTACAGTACGGTAACTAAAATGCAACAAGAAAATAATGTGTCATGGTTTGGTCAGGAAGTTATTTTATGTTTAGCACGTTTTTCGTGAAAAGTATAGTAAACAATATTCAATGTAGAAATTTGTATAAAGGAAATTCAAATTATAATCACTCTTAATCATAATTTCAAAAGACTATGACCTAATATTTATCATATATTAATTGCCATATAGTTAATATTAAAAGACAGATTATTCTTTGAAAAAATTGCCCCCCCCCCCAAAAAAAGATAATCGAAGTGACCATTTAAAATTAAATAGCTTATAACATATATTTTTGAATATATACTTGCAGCAGTCAGGTCTTTACAATTAAGATAATGTTTGTCTTTTGTAACTATATTAAATATTTGGTTCACAAATTACGATAATTAGAAATTAATCAACTTCTGGCATTGATATCATATTAGTGCTTTCCTGTTGTGTCAAGTTCGCCTCAGGTTTTATCTTTTATAGTACTATTAAACTTAAGAGGCCTGTGCAAGGTCATGTCCTGTTCGAACTCTATTGGCTGTTGTTATAATCATTAGAAATTATGGCCTAAAATTCACCTCATTTATCACGACCAGACAATAGAAAGATGACATGGCAAGGCAATGCTACAGGTTGACGAACGTTCAAAATACCACAAACATGACTATAGTATATGGCATAACCTTTGTAAATAATTGTTTCTTGTTTCATCCTAACTATATCAGGTATGTACTACAGATCTATATCACTCGCCAGGGTAAACTATATTGTGAGGAAACCTGAACATAACAGACAAAATTTATCTATTTTAGTACGGTATTTTATAGCGATAAAACCATGAACAGACCGTTAAATTTTGTGTATCCTGTATAAATATGTTTTAAATTTTTCAAAAAATGGAGGTATAAAAAAGATTTTTTATACCTCCAGGTTAGATTAAATTAATTGTAGGGCTCATTATTCATTGGTTTAAAAAGGACCCTTTTGATGTTCTTTAAAGAAAAGGCTTTTAGTTCAAAAAATAATCCATCAGATAAACAAAAACATTATGCTTTGCACTTCTCTGCGACCTGTTTTAAATTCAGTAGGCTATTACAGAGATCGAGACTGTCCATCGTATTAGGCGTACTCTATTCCATTTTTCTTTCCTTCTACTGCATAATGGTTATATAGGCCTACCATTGTTGTCAAGCTTTTAACGATATCCCCGTTTAGTTTAATTGGCAATGATGATCTTAGTGGCTGAATTTTAACTAGGCCTATTATTTGGTTGGTATAGAAAATAGGCTTACAAAGTAAGCTTTTAGATTCAAAGTTAGATTTATTTATCATAAACTTACATAAAATTTGTTTTCTTGAGTCAAAAATACAGATGAGTAGACTTCAAAAATCAAAAATAATGATACATTTCTAATCAACTAAAAAAACAAAAATATAATAAAATATCACGCAAGTAATAACCATAAATATAACACAAGTTAACAATAGACAACTAGAACTTTGAACATAGGATTGCAATAACCAATAACAATAAGCAGTGACCAAATTGATGCCTAAAGGTAAAGAATTCAAATTTGAATTACATTTTTAATTCGTTAGCTCAACACTGACCAGCCTCAGACTGACCAATTGTGTTTGTCCACTAAAGTATAGAAGTATATTATCCTTATAATCATATTTATATTCATTCTGTCTAGAAGAAATAAATCAAAGTAAATACTTAAAACCATACTATTGAAAAACTGCACGCGACTTGTTTGCATCGAATGAATCATGTCTGGTAATTTGTGATAAACCGTAATTCTTATCTGGACGGTTGATTCAAATCTGGACCGCCAATGTAGCCGAATATTTCTTGTTTTATCAAGAAAGACAGCTTTTGCATGGATTTAAATTAAAATTCAATAATGTATCGAATAACATGTTCAAAAATACTAGAAACTTAGTATAACAATAATTGTCTCGTAAACACAATAATTTAAATAGGCCTACTATACAGTGAAATAATTATGATAATAAGAGCCTTGGTGATATCACCTCATCTGACGGAAAATTATGACGCATGCAGAGCATAATTTGATAAACGAAATACTTATGGTGTATTTAGGTTTCAAAAACTGTCCATTCGACTGTAACTTTACTCATTTTATTCGAAACAATCGAGACTCAACTATTTGCAATAGAAAGAGAAGTAGACAAGGTATGTAGAAAGATTATTATTACAATGTATTTTTAGTGACGAATTTATTCTTGAATTGTTATTTTTTTTTTTTTATAAATGCAAATTACGGAAAGTATTGATAATAAAACAATAGCCATTATAATTCTTATAAATATCATTATTATAATTATAATTATAATTATTATTATTTTATTATAAAATAATTGTTAATAGAGTTATATTATAAAGTCGTTAATTTAAAAAATTATTATTGTTACCGGTAGTAGGGCTATATTATTATACTGTGCCTATTTATTATTCAGTATTCTTTTTTTTTTCCGTTCCTTGTATACTCATAATTTAACATTGCATTTCGAAACTGAGTCATACAGTACTTCATCAGTAAATGAGCTATGCAATTTTCGTACCAGCTACATTCATTTAATTTGGAAGTTTCCTGCTCTTTTCTAGTGTTTAACGTGCAAAGGCTAGGCAAGAATGTACACTGTAAAATGGACAAACGGCTTAAATACTGCTTTTAAATACGGTAACAATCTACGAACAGCAGTTTCATTACATGCAACTACAGTAGAAACCATATTAAGGGGATTTCGGGACAAAAAAAGTGTCCCCTTAATAGAGGTGCCCCCTAAATACGGGTACCCCTATCCAAAACGTGAAATTGTCCCTTAATATGGGGTTTATGGCCTGTTTCATACAAAGATGACATACATGCTTTATAATTTTATTTTTATTGACATAAGAATTAGTTATAGCAATACTTGGAATGCAAATACAATTTATAAATAATATGAAATCAGCAGAAATGTAATAGTAAACAAACAACAATAGTTTTATATGTTCCCAATATTATTTCATAATGCAATGTTGATTACCAAATACTCTTCTTTTTTTAATATTGAGCTTTCTATTGGATGAATGTAGCATGAATAGAGTAATGCCTTAAAATTAAGGGTGCGTGTTATGGTATGTATTAGAATCCTATATGAAAATACACGAAAAACAGAGAAAAAATCTCCATGGTTAAGGGTAAAAATTGACACGGTTGACTTATACTAAGTAACAGATTCACTCTAAGGATCCAGAAGAGAAAATTAGGCCTACTGTTTATTGCTCAAAAGGTGTCAAAATATAAAGTTTTTTTTTTTCTCTCTATAATTTTGAAACTGCTGTAGTTGTTGTTATACAAGTTTCCCCTTGGGGTTATTTTACCATTCAGAGAGTGTCCCTGTCCCCTTAATAGGGTGTCCTCTTAATAGCGGTTGGCCGTATGTGTTAAAAGATGTCCGTTTAATAGGGGTGTCCCCTGAATTGGGGTGTCCTAAAGGAGGTGTTCTCTGTATAAAAACAAAGTTTTATGGTTCAGCTCGTAGGTCACAGAGTGGTTATCACCGAATTTTAACGATTGGATTATGTTGATATCTGTTTATACAGATCACAATTATATATATTATTGTTATATAATAATATACAATATAAGAGCAATTTGAATAAACCTCTATTAAATTTCATTGGCTCAGCCCAGTATAGCTTTGATAGTGAGAAAGGTATATCTCACAAGTTGAATTACAGTTCAAAATTTCGGCTTCATTGACTACCCCCTCGTTTTCCATTGTTTAATTCAATTTAGCCTATTGACTTCGTTATCCATTCTTAATTTAGTTTCCGTTCGGTCAGAAACCACCGTTATCATACTTTGTCTTAATTTCCGTCATCAACTAATAGCAAAGATTTGAAACTCCTTAAAAACGATTAATTGGAATTATCCAAACAACGATTGCTTATACATAAGATCAATTCAAAAGTTGTAAAAACAAAACGGAAAATGTGTAATTATTCGATACAACTTGCTAATGAGATAACATCTGCCAAACACAACACACGGAAAATTATGATTTAAATAATTTGTGTGATGATTTGAGGTAATAATGAGGCATAATATAATTGATATTGATAATGCTTTATAAATTAGATAGTAAATATAATATTTATTTTGATGCCGTCATTTTAATTCAAAAATAGAATAACAAAAAGATTAACTTATTATTTTTGCGATTCACAGGATTTAGGCTAATGCCATACTTATTATTATACATGAGCATTCATTAGTTAGGCCTAGTGTTAATTGTTGCTTCTACCCTTCAATTACTTAATAACTTTAATCTATAATTGTAATGTGTACAGGTTGATAACCTAACGTAAACCAATTTAAACTTGTACGATACAAATATACAAAATTCGGTTAGATACAATACGGTAGGTTAATAGATTTATTATATGATAACAAAAATACACTAAATAAATAATTATCAGAGCACATGGGTGTTAATTCTAAATACTTAAGTAATAATACGAGATATAATATTTAAAACATAACAGTTATCAATTTCTGTTATTACTCAAGTGTTTCATTTTCATTTTTTTTCTTTTACAAAATGAATGAATGTAGCTGGTACGAAGGTAACTTAACTCGTTGGATGACTCAGTTTCTAAATACAATGTCAAATAATAGAGTAGACACGGGAAGG